CCTCTTCTAAGAGTTAAAATGGCTAGATGGAGTTCAAAGAAAAATGCCCTCCTCTTGTAATTTTCAGGACACTGAATTCAGTACAAACACCACATCTGAAAACTTTAGACTTCAGGGTTATGTGGCAGGGCTCCATCTGAAACCCTTCTTGAAGCAAATGAACAAAGGATATCACAGCTGACTATATCAGTGGGCAGAAAAATAGCCAAGTGCATACTGGATTTAAAACCCTTGCAGGTAAATTTTTGACCAAACCCTGGGCTGACTGTAGTTTTCTGCTTTGGCTTTGCTGACACCAGGATTTCACCTCTGTTTTCCTCCTGTGTCTGGACTCATTCTGTCAGACAGCTCTGCAGCAGCCTAGGTATCTAAGTGTTAAGCCTTTTGACTCAGTTACTGTTCTCTCTTTTCTGGGAAGGGTTTAGTACAGCAGATTTCCTGCTGCAACTGTTTGCTGTGTTTAGTCTCTCTATAGAGCTGGGTTGTAAATAATTTACTCATCTTTTTAGAGCTGAGAATCCAGCCCTTCCTGGCTCCTCACCTAAGCCAGTCTGCTTGCCTACAGAGTGTGTGCACAAAGTTTCAGCTGTTCACCTCTGTGTTGCATCCAGAATTTGTATTTTGAATCAGAGGCTCTCTGCTAGAAGAATATTCTGCATCACTTTATTGTCCACTACTTTGTACTGCTAATTCCTGCTCATTAATATGTATCTCTGCCTTGGTCAGTTTTGATTTCAAAATGGTTTCTTCACACTGAACTTCGTCCCTTTATTTTTATTGTGAAGACTTGTTCCTAGCCTATTTTTATGTGTCAGAAAGTATCAGGGGCCAAACACCTCTCTGCAGAGCAGTCAGTATAGCTGGGAAACCTAACAGAGAGGAGGCAAATGCCTTGGCTGAAGTGACCTGTTATTACAGTGGAGAAATATGTTTGCATTGAAAGGATAATCACCCATTCATCCAAGAAAGTTAAACAATGGGGACAGAGGGTTTGGTTTTCTCTGATTGTTTCCCAAAGCAAAAATGATTTATGTCTTCTCTCTGGGACTATAGGATGTCTACTGAAGGGTTCATTAGAGAGACCCTTGCAGCTGCCAAAACAACCGGCTAGATTACTGAGCCTGCAGCTAATGTCTTCTGTCCTTGTCCTCTTCCTACAATGAAGAACTAGGTTGCAATCCAGACCTTGTTTGTGCTGTCCCACATGGTGGGGGACTGCTCTGTGCAGCAATGCAGAGAACAGTGCCTGTCCCCAGCCCCAAACACTGTCTCTAGCTCATTGTGATGATTTATGATGTTAAGCTCTGGAGCACATGGTATGCTCCCTATGCTGCCTGTAGGTACCACAATAATCACATGGTCATTTCAGCAGTGAATTTTGACAGCTGTTAGCTTTGCAGTCCTGTGTCCCTTGCAATGGGATCATCCGAGGAGGCAGAGCCAGCACTGCCTGGAGATGCAAGGGACTCAAGAGTCTGACTGTGCCCAGGGCTGGTGCAGCCTGCATATTCCACACGTGCAAAAACGGGCTGCATTGCCCATTCCATTAACAGTACTGGGAGGCTGCTGCTTCCTCATTTGCTAGCAGACTACCATAACTGTAAGCCCAGGAGGCTGTTGACTGAAAAAAGGTTTGGATATCATGCAGCCTGGCAGCTAGGCTGACAAGCCCTTAACATTTCCCGAGGCAATAAATAAGCATTACAACTTCTGATTAATTGCTGGGAGCCAAACCCTTCTGAGAAGGAGGGGGATAGGACGTTATTTCCGTACAAAGTGAAGAAGAAGGATGGTTGTCACAGTATAGACAGCAGAGAAGATTTAGGGGTAGCTGTGATGGCATTGTTTATTTGACCACAGCTTGAAATTGAGCTCAAGTAATGCCTTCAGTCTGGAATTAACTAGGAAGAGCTCCTTACTTTATCTCAGAAAGCTACTGGTAAAAATGCATAATCAAGTGCACTAGAGGCTTGAAACTGCAAATATGCAGGGATTTATGTACAATACATGTGTGCATATTAATGCACAAATGCTATGCAGGTACCCACCTAAATGTAGTCCCAGTTGATCAAAATCCTTGTAGCCCTTGACCTATGCTGGGAGCTGTGTTGTTTAGCACTGGCTAAAGATGTGAGCACTAGTGGCATAAATGCCATCAGGCTGTTCTGTAAATTCTTTATCATCTCCTGCACTGATTCCAGTTCTTTGCATTACAAACTCTAACTGAAAACCTGAAAAAATAGATTTGGGGGAAACTAGAGACAGAAGCACTTTGCTCAGGTGATAATTTCATTTACTGTTAAGACATTGCTTAGAACTTAAAAGTGAATATATTCTCTGTTCCTCCATAATACACACACAGAGACATATAACATCTTACTTGATTTTATTAAAAAAATGTAATTGCATATGGCTGAGCAACTGGTAGACTAAAATCATTGGATCAACTTTGAGAAATAAACAATGTGCTAGATTTACTGGGAACACCCAGTGACACTACTGTGCTATAGCACAATATTAAATAGTGTAGAGGCTTCCCAGCTGGCTGCAGGAATCTGTACATTAAAATCTAAAACACAATTTGTTGCCTCTTAGCAAGAGATCTACAGAAAATACGATTCTCTAAAGGAACCCTGCAAGCATCTGAAATAGCATTTACTTACATTATAGCAATGGGAGCTTGCCATTTGTCAAAGAGAGTTATAGGCTGATCTTGTAACCTAGAAGACTAGTGTCTGGTTAGATTTTGTTGCTGTATCCATGAGAGGACAGATGCTCAGCTAGTGGCCACAGCAAGGTCTTCATTAAAGCCTCTGGAGCCAGGCTGATTTACACCAGCTAACAAATCTACCACGTATTTAAGCTACTACAGTGGTCAGGAATATTTTCTGCTGTAAAATCTTGGCTGCTCCCAGTCTCAGTGGCCTGTTTGATTATACTGCTTTGAATGCACCCCAAAGTAGTTTGAAGAAAGAAATTTCTGCCACCGCTTCATCCTTCCGTAACATCTGTGTTGTTTGTGAAGGTGAGCAGGGATAACATTGACTCAGCTTTCCGGTATCAGGTGTGTCTCTACTTAATTGGTTTCAGTAAGGATTTCTAGCTAGTCTTGTATGCATTAAACTCACACTACAGTTTCTGGTGAAGTGGCTGTGGTTTGGAAACAGAAACATGTCTTCTGCTGCTATAAATTAATGGAGCTACAGTAATTGCTTGCGGTGCTAGATGTAAGAATTTGATAGTTGACAGGTGGGCTCGGCTGCCCGGCTGGCAGGGCTTGACTTGTTGAAGCCTTCTTCAATAAGAAATTTTTAAGAAGATTTCTAACTTGCCATGGGCTCTGAAGTCATCATTCAGCTTCTTATTTGCCCTGCCTACATGAGCTGTTGGTTTTTTTTTTTTTCTAAGAAAAGGAGAGGGGAAAGAAATCAAAGTAAGGACCAAATTGTTCCTTTCTCATTTGACATAGAATTTGCATGTGAGTAAAAATTTTGTAATTTTCTCATCCAGATTTGCTTGTTTTAAATCAGGCTGATCATGGCATTTATTGGCACAGAGGGAATTTATAAGCATTGAGAGAATCTGAAGGAAGAAGAGTCATGCGCACACATCAGTGCATTACCTGCAGGGCTTTAAGAAACTGCTGGTGTTTTACTAGCATGAAAAAAAAAACAAACCAAAACACCAACAAAATAAAAAAACAAACCCTAAAACAAACAAACAAACAAAACACCAGAAAATTGAGAAACTGAGTCATCTGGATTCATTTGCTGCGTATCTTTCCAGCTGGGCTTCTGTTGCTGCTCAGACTGACATATATCTGAGTTCCCACTGTAGTCACCAGGATTGTGCGGCATCCTACATGTCTGCTGTCCTTGCTTCCTACTCTCATCTTTTTTATAGTCCAGGGTGTCTGGAGACCCAGATCAAGGTCAGAGTTGTGCTGCAGCTGATTCTGAGCTTGCTTACAAGCAGCAAGAGGCTGCCTCTGCCTCAGTGAGGGTACCTGCTAGATACAACAGGCAAAGGCACAGGGACATGAGGGGACTTCTACAATGCAGCATATTTATCACAGAGAGGAGAACAGCTAGGTGGAGTGTCCCAGCACTCTGCTCACCTCCATGGACTGTTCTGCCTTTCTTCTTAGTTTTCTTCAGCTATTCGTTTCTCTATTCTGTTATTCTAGAGAGCACAACACATAACAGCCTCTCTAGTCTAGAGTGCTTTTCTCCCTTTTCCTCAAAACCCTCCTGAAAAATCTGCCAGACCTTCTTTGTGGCAAATGCCAGTTTGGTGGCTGTGTTTAAATTCAGTGTAATCTCCTTTGCTGTTGAGTAGTGATCAGAAAGGCTAAACCGTGAAGCTGAGATTAAAAGCACTAAGCATATTGCTTGTTTGTGTAGTATACTGAACAGAACTATTCTCTGTCTTACAACATGAATCTTTTTGTGCTGTTAATATACTTCTATTTTCCTATACAAAACTTGTATTCTCTGCTGTGGCGAGGAAGTTTCGTTTGATCGCAAGTGCCCAATGAGTTTTCTCTCCTATAGTCTGGATTCTTCAGAGAATGAGGTTGCTATGGGTTGTGCACATCTTTGTTCTTTCTCCTTCCCCAATAACTTTTGATAAGAGGGATGGAGTCCACTAAGGTTTTAAGCTCCTATGAGCTGCATGCACAGCAAAGGCTCCAAGGGAAGGAGGTTGTGTTAGCACCCTCCTCTACAATGAAAGACTAGGTCACAGATTCTCCTTTTATTAAGATCTTGAGATCCACATAGGAGAGTTAATTTGTCCCAGCTGCAAAAGTTTGGTCAGAGCACTCAGCACAAGATACTCCAGCTGTAAGACATGATTTCTCCTTGCAGAATGATTTGTTGGCTGATTCAAGTGAACATTACAGGTATTCTTCCACTTAGGGTCTTCTGTAGGACATATAGACGAACTGAGCAACAGATGGTACACCAAGTCAACGCGTATTTTATGATCTTTTGTTTCAGGTGGAAAAACTGGCAAAGTACTTGGATCCAAATGATTTGGGAAGAATCAATTTTAAGGACTTCTGTCATGGAGTTTTTGCTATTAAAGGTATGTGCATGTTTCTTAAAAATAATCCATTCCAGTTCCACTAATGTTTCTCTGGTTACAGAAAACGTGATGATCAAAGACATTCTCTCTTTTGGCTGTGGCTATTTGTAGTGACAGTAGGGCAACTCTGGGAACAGAACCGATATATATTTCCTTTTTGTGCATCTCATATATCAGTGGTGAACAATGCTAGAGTGCCTGCATCCACAGGTGCTTCTGTATTGACTTACTGTTAGTTTTTCAGAACAAATGTGTTTTAAAGACAAATGTAGCAGAAGAAAGAGTAGCTTTGTGGTTAGCAGGCAGTGCCAAAATCTGATACTTTGATTGTCATCTGGTTCTGCTGTTGATTTACCTAAGGAAGTTAGAGAGCCCTTGGGCTTTAGTTTTTCTACTAGGAAATTTAAGACTATTCTACTCTTCTTGAGGTATCTACAAGATACAGTTAATTCATGTTTTCAAAGTACTTGGAGATATGTATTGTAATGAAGAGGGTTAATTACAGGTAGATCATGCAAGTGCTGAAGATAGAGACCAGGTGGATCAAACCATCTCCTTTGCAAGGAAACACAGTCCCTTGACAGAAGACACAGACATTATTATGTTTTATAGCTTAGGCAAAGGGCAACGAAGCAAACAGTGAAAAGGGACTTTAGCTGTTTTGCTGCTGATTAGTTTTCTAGCTTCTCATAGAAAAATAATCCAGCCTGTCCTTTTCCATACACGTAGTATCGTCCTTAGTAAAGTGCCAGAGTGCTGTCATTGCCCAGAGGCTTCACTTCAGCGCCAAGGTGAATGTCAGTGACTGTAGTGTGATTCCAGGAGAAGCCTCTGGAGAGTCTGCTACAATGAGATTATTACAAAGCTGTAATGATGCAAGAATGTAACACCACAGCAATTTTAATTAAAGTTTATGGCAGCCGAGGACAGTGTATAATTATGTAAAATTACAGTGAAAAGCTGCTTTCGGTCCATGTTCGTGGAGACACCTTCCAAGGTGACACTGATGTGTTTGAAGAGAAGGCAATAGAAAGCCCAGAAGGAAAAATAATATGTTAGTGTATGGACACTTAAGTCTATACTAGAGGTTTTCTTTGTCCAGGGATATTGTAACAATCTGTCTTCTGGCTTAAATAAAACACAAGCTCTTTAAATCATCTGATAGTCCTCTGTAATTCACAGTCTAAAGGTGTGCACAAATGCACAAAATATGATCAGGATGGTATAGATGTGACCCAGAACATCTCTTCTGTAATAACTGTGCCCTTGTCCACAGTGTGCAGTACCCTCACTGAAGAAGTGGGCAGCTACGTTTCCTTTTGCATGAGGGACAGTTGTGCATATTGACAGTTATCGGAGGGTGGTGATGCCTTGAGAACTTTCATCCTTGCTCACCTTGTGGGAACTGATTCGTGTATTCATATCCTAAGGCCCAGTCCCGCAAAGATGTGACTGAATCCAACTGGCATACCTTACACTCCCAAGTTTATGGATAGTTTAAAGCCCTTACAAGGAGTGTATTGTCGGTACAGTCCAAATCATATGGTTGATGGATATTAGTATGTATATGTGAACAGATGCAGAGAAATCATCCAATTCTGCAGCATCACCTAGAGCTCTCTTAGCACATCATTAGCATTGTCAACACTTACACAGTGTCAGTGCCAAGGGTGTATAATCACAGCAGCCGTTGTATCCATTTCTGATAAGACATTGTTATGCATGCTTTCACAGCATCTCTTTAGAAAAGCTGGCTCTATTGCTTACTTCACAGCATGGAAGTTATATTGGTCTTTAGCTACCAGTTATATTTTTCTTAAAAACGAAATTGGTCATATTGAAGTTCAGAATGGGTCTGTCTACCTTTCAGAATGGAAAGCCTCCACCATGTTGTTACCCCTCATTTTTCAGTGCAGCCACATCCCAGGGGTAGCAGCAGACTTGTTATTGCACAAAAGCAGTTTGTTGTGGCAGCAACAATTTATAAATATGATTCTTTGACATCTCAGCCTACTGCAATTGCTTGGGGCAATCAGATTAATAGAGCAAAATGAGATCCTACTATAAATCTAGTGGGTTTTTTTTAGTAATGGAATATGAAGCTGTGTTCTTCTTAGCACTGGAAGCCAAATGTTTAAGTTCAAGCTTTACTATTATAATGCCTTGACATAGTTCTTATTTATGATACATCAAATTAATTTGTCTCAAAGATGCTTGCCTTTATAATATGCTGAAGAAATATTTTGCTGCACAGAGGTGTTATAGTGTCAAGATTTTTTTGGTAGTTCAGTGCCTTGAATGTGTTTAAAGCATGAGGTTTGAAGCATCTAGAACAACAGATTCAAATCTCAGTGGTAAATAATTGACCTCTGATGATGATGATCTGAGCATTTCAGATCCAGGTATGGATCTTAATGAAAAACTAAATGTTGGAACCTAAAAAAAATCCCAAACATTGGAATGTTCGATGTCTGCTCTGTAACTAGTTGATAGCAGCTCTTGCTGCAAGGAGAAACCCCAAATCCTGGATCTAAAATCTGCAGCTGGGCCTCTCTCCTCCATAAACCAGGGCATTGTTCACTCTTGAGTGGTACAAATGAGAACCGTTGTGTTCCTTTACAAGTGGACATTAAACCTCTCCTCCTTAGTGCTTCTGAGCTGGGTAAACCTCATGACATATGAGTCATGTACCTCCACAGCAGCTGCTGGGACTATCCGGTGGAAAAGACAATCTTCTTCAACTGCTGAGTAACAGGAACTGTGGAGAAGGATGTGCTGCAGAGTCTCACTAACAGCAGGGACCTTTGGAACTGATGGAGAGGGTTTTTCAGGCAGAGGTATCTATGCTAGAGGAGAGAAGTGTGTTGGAGGAACTCGTTCCTACTGTGTCTCTGGGGTGGAATACTGGACAGGCAGGGTGCTTTCTATTTATGGTAAGCTTTGCTTCTTTTTGCTGGTTCTTTGTGGATTAAAGGACTTTGCCTCAGCATCTGTGCTGAGCCCCTGCTGTCTAGGCTGCTTTCCCCACGCAATTAGGCTGTGCCAGGGACAGGCTTGCCATCAAATTTAAAGCTTTGCAGCAATTTCATTGGAATGACAGAATGTGAAGGTTTTACTCCTGCTGAAGTCGCAGTCTCTATCTTCTCACTGCATGGCTTTATTTCTAATAACTGCATCTGTCTGGAGAGCAATTGCCATGAAATAACACCTATACCCTCTTACCTAGCAGCTGTGTCAAAGCCAGTATAGCCTAAGAAGTGGCACTGCTTAGACTGCGAGAGCGGCCAGAACATCACTCAAAGGCTGAATTCCCATTCATTTCAGCAGGGTCAGCGTGGGATCCATTACTGTTTGTTCAGTGAAGTCAATGACTGGTTTTGCTATACTGAATTTATTGTACTGATCCAGTAAATATTTTCTGCCACTTGTGATACTTAAAGGCTTGAGTAGAACTGTTATTTCTAATGTGCTCTGCAGGCTGGTAGGTTCCACAGTCAGATGTGTTTGCAGGACCAGGCTCTTAGTACATTTAGCAGGCTCTAATTAAGTCTGACCTGTTCCTTCTATTTTAAGATTTCTGTTGTCTTTCCAATAGCTTCTCTGCTTTGATACTCCACTTAAAAATCCTCAAAGCCTGACAAATAAAGGGTGAGCTCCCCCTACTGACTTGGTGTTGCCGCTCACAGAGATGAGAGGGTACAGCATGAATACAAATTAATATAGAATTAAAAGATAAAGGCAAATGTGTTCTGACTTTATAGCTTACTTTAACCATGAAAACAACTCAGACCACTGTGTACTAATTATAGGGTAATGGCTTTCATAATGGGAGAGACTGAGCTATGTTAGCACAGAGCATTTCTGCAGTAATGAATCTTTGTGCTTTAGTAAGATCACTTTTTTTTTCATATTAAATCATACAGCCTGTTTTTCTTCTGGAGCAAGAGAGTATTTTCCTCATCTTGTAGAAGTTTTAAGGACATTTAAGTTATGCTCTGATATATTTGAAAATTGGGAGTTGTAGGAGCTCCTTCATATTTATTAATGGTGTGGAAGAACCACAGTTGTGAATTTATACGCTTCCCCACCTGCAGCAATAGCAACCTTTGAATCTTCAAAATAGTAACACAGACCATTATATGCCTTCAAAAATCTACCTCTGTGCTTTCCTGGATCTTTAGGCATCTAATTACTGCAGTTGGCTGGAAAGCTTCTAAAAGCAGTTTTTACGTGAGCAGATAAAAGCTAAAAAGTAGGTATGTTTCCCCATGAGTTCCTAGCCATTTTGATGAAAATTGCAAGAATACAGATTTGCCCAAAGCTCTAAAGAAATGTTCAAAAAGGGAAGTTGGCTGTTCTGGTAGTTCAGACTGTGATGGATTATCTGGACTGTTAAAGCATATGAAAAAAATACAGTATGAAATTTGATGGGTTTTTTTCAAGACAGTTTTCCAGACCAGAATATATCTGGCCTTCTTTTTCACTAGAGATTATGTTGGTTTTTTTTGTTTGTTTGTTTTTTTTTTTTTTTACTTTGCCTTTATAGTTTCATTCAGATGCTCCAAACATACATATTTCTCAGAAAACCAGTGCCATGTTTTGACTGTCTCTTTTAACTAACTTTTAAATCTAATTTGCAATCCCTTAGCTGAGAACAGTATTGTACCAGCTTTGCCCTGAAGATCCAGTTTGGAATAAGAGATGGATATGTTGCAGTCATGTAAAAGTTTACTTTTATTTTCCAGACACCAGTATTTGTAATATATCTCAATACCTAAGACAGCTGCAGTAGCACAGGAATTTCATTAAAGCACTGCAGAAAACCTCAAAGTCTTGATGAACCCATTTAGACTCGTACGTGTACATCTTAAACTTCACCATACACCATAACTGGAGAAGATTTGATGAATCCATCCATTTTTTAAAGAATAACTTACTGACAGAAGAGGTTCTTGGGATGGCTCCAAGGAGGACTGTCACGTAAATGTGAAGAGCTGAGC